TCTCTAAAACTTTTGCCTCTATTTATAAACTAAAAAAAAAAAAATTCTTCAGTGGTTTTTAAACAAAAAGCAAAAAAAAAAAAAGATAAGAAAAGAAACAGCCTACTAATCACAGTCCCAGAGAACCCATATATCTAATCTACATGGGAAGTAGTAAAGACAAAATTTCCTGAGTAAATTAGGAGGATGGGAATCTTGAGAGAGGGTTGAAGGTGAGTGGAGAGGCAGGAAGGGGACAAGAGAAAAATGTAGAGCACAACGAAAATCAGTAAAATAAAATAAAATAAAATAAAAAAAATATTCTTATAACCTTCAGGGTATCAAATTGGATCCACCTCTCACAAGTCAAAAGGACTACTGATAAGAACTCTCAATCAACAACCTGTTTCTTACCAGTTTATTGTCCTTAATCCTGAGGGTGAATCTCTCCTCCACATGTGAGAAAAAATGAGAATGGTTTTCTAATTTAGAATTTCCTGAGATTTCTAACTGAACTACTTACCTTAACCGACTCTTAGAATTACAACTATTGATTGAAAAACATGTTAACATTTATTCTTATGTTTATTAGATTGGATAGAAAGTAGAAAATGGATATCTTAGATTTCATGGGGAAACAGTGGCATGTTTATTAGAAATTAAATGAATAGTAATTGTCATAAAGTGTGACATAGCAAAGGGTCTCTAGGGGATTGCTTGAGCAGGAAGGGGAAACCATATGTTCTAACATTTAAACAGCCAAAAACATGTTTGTGAGAAAGCACCTGGGTCAGTCCTCAACCTCCTATGATCTAAGGCATGCCTACCAGTTCTGAGCCGCCTGGGGGTTTCTTAATTGTCTCTTTTGTTCCTGTGTTTCTTTGCAGGCAGCTTTGAGTATGAGTTCACACTGAAGTATCCTTTCTCTGTTTTTGGTACAGTAATACAAAGGCAGGTTGTTCAGATTTTAAACAATTCATTATTATACATATTCCAATTAACACTAACTCAGGATTTGAAATTCCAATTAAAAACTTTGTGTCCATAAAACAGTTGTTTAACACTAGCATGTTCTCGTCCGTGCTTGGATGCTATTAGACTCAGTTAAAATGATAGTTTTTTTTTCCAGAGAATCTACAGAGAGTAGATTAGAGGGATAAGACCTATGAAGGTTTTATCAGGACAGACCAAACTCCTGTAGTTATCTACGCCTCGTACAGAGCAACTAAAAACTCTGAACATAAGTACAAGTTACACATACTATCAGCCACATGCCCAGTTCCCTTTCCTCAAACCCTGTGACATTCACTTCATTGAACAGACACCAGATTGAACAGACACCAGGCAGAGAAGAAGTAGCAGGACATACACTCTTTGATGGAGGCTCCATTGAGAAGGAGATTTGGACTTACCAATCAAGGCTGAGTTTTCAGCCTGAGACTCAAAGAGGGCTGTTTTAAATAAGGGAGCCTCTGTAAGAGGTAAGAGAAGGGCAGAGATCAGAACAATCCCCTGCCCCCAGTCAAGATGAGTGAGATTGAGTTTTCTAGAAGATCTAGAGGTACAAACTTCAGGGCTATTTTCTTCATCCCAAACTTGTTTAGGCCATGCCATACAGACATTGCTCTGTGAACAAGAAGATTACCTCTTCTTTGCTCATCTCCCCAAGCTGTGGTGCAGGATGATCCTTCCCTTTAGAGCAAAATTGAGGCAAGTGTGGGATTTCTGACCCTATTTACTCCACATGCAATACAAAACATAGCTTGAATACAATTTAAAAGAAAGAAATATTGCTGGAATGAGAGTTTCCATACTTTATCTTCCCTGTGCACCTGCTGCACATGCTGTCATCTCATTGCATGCTGCACAGCACTCAGCAGCTTTGGAGCCTTATTCAACCCTTATGAGTTAGGAAGCCATGGAGACTGAGTTCATCATAATGCTTCTTTTGTATCTTCTGTTTACGGCTCTTCCTTCCCTCTTTCATTCTACTTTGTCACAGACATATTCCATGAACTTCTTAATGTGTGAATGTAGTAGCCTGAAAAAATACAAAAGTATTAAATTAAGTATACATGACAATCATCTTCAAACACCTGAGAAACTCTGATGCTCCCTGCTCCTTGTGTTAAACTGAAACCTGAGATACCCTCAGCTTCATGGAGTTGAAGTTTTCATGGTGCTTATGTAAGTATATTTGTTAGAGGGCATAAAATCTAACACTAATGGTTAATAATAAACAGACATAAATACATGAATTTTTTCAGCAATTAACATGAAAAGTTCATGGTATTTATAGAAAAATGGAAAGAATTATAGAATATGAAGTTATGTGCTGTGAGGTAGTCTCAAAAATGTGTAATGAATTTTCTCTAATATGACATGCTTTTGAAAAAAAACACATCAAAGTGAATATGAGACAATTTTATTGTATTAGAAAAAGACATACAGATGATAACAGATAAGGAAGTAATTCACATAGGATTAATGATTTAAAACTACTGTCAGTACATAACTTGGATTACAAATATCACAACTGAGCCTTAAAGCTTTTATGATTGTCATATGCTAATAAGAGTTAAACCTATTTTAAAATATTTTTCAACTAAATTATGGAAAATACATCCTAAAGGAATCACACTATGCTTATAATAGAAAACCCATTTTCTTTATACCTCTGTTCACTGTGTAAAGTGTAACATGTTATGAGTCAATTGATGGATAGTGAAAAAGTTACCAATATACATGATGAAAACTATATATGAAAAGCAGAAAAAAAAATTTACAGTCCTAAAAGTTATTTCAGTTGATAGCTACATATAAAGGAAGTAACTCAGATTTTTATAGATGGTTCTGCAGTTTAATCACATGTATGAGAGTAAGCATGAACTAAAAAATGGCATCAAAGTGGAATCAATTAAGAGTAATGCTGGGAAAATTACAAGGGAGAAGAACATTCAAAGGTAATGATAGAGAATATTTGAACAAAGTAAGTTAGGCATGTATAAAAGGGTCATAATAAAGTCATTGATTTGTAAGAGTGATATATGTCTATAAGAGAAGACGTGAAAAGTACAGCAAAATTATTTATAAATTTTGATGCAAAGTCCTCCAGAACATTGTAGAAATTGCCAGTATTTTCCCATCAAACATGTCATTCACAATGATCAACAGAGTCACGCAAATGTTGCAGAGTTGAATAAACAAGGAATTCAATAAATGTAATTTAGCACATATAAAAATGTTAATCCTTTTTATAATGTATATGAAAAACAAAACTCAGAAGATTATATAGCACTCATAATAAAAACTTGGAATACATTACAATGATGGAAGAAAACTAAAACCAGTAGAATTAGAAAAAGTAAGCATACCTTTCAGAATGCCAGAAGAAATTCCTACCAAGTACACACAAACTTACGCCCTCTTATGACAGGAAACAGTAAGCAAGGTACAATACACCCACCCAGCAAAGACAAGACCAGATATCAACACATAGAATTGCAAACTTTGGAATTCCAGATACCCAGAAAGCATTGTAAAAATGCCATCAAAAATAATCAGGACAACATGTCTCTACAAGAGGCCTGTAATTCTACTATAGCAAGCTTTGTGTTTTTCAGCATAGATAAAGCACAAGAAAAAATTTCAAATTATCCTTTTTGAAAATTATAAACCTCTTTAAGGAGAAAATGAATGAATCACTTAGAGAAACTTATGAAAACAAAAAGAAATATTATAGGTAAATGAATAAAACCAGTAAATATTTGAGAGTGGAGTTAAAATAAATTAAGGAAGCCCAACCTGTAGAAATACTTGAATTGGTAAACCTATGGATTTAAGCAGGGAAGCTTTACTGATGGAGGAATTCAAAAAACAGAAGAATCTCAGGAAGATACAATAGAAGAAACAAATACATTGGTCAAAAAAAACCTGATAAATGTTTGAGAACTACTGACACAAACTATTCAGGAACTGTAGGACACATATTAGCAAATACATCTCACATTTGTTAATCTGATTCTTTGGTACCTCACTTAGAATTATTTTTTCCTAGTAGCATCCAGTTCTCTGTTTATTTCATGATATCATTTTGAAAAGCTTAGAAAAAATCCATTTTATAAATGTCCACATGGCTTATCTTTTGGGCTGTAATATGGGGATGTTTGTGAATACCAACAGAGCAGATACTGAAAAATGAACATAGACTTATTAGTGGTTTAACACCATAGACATCTGTAATGTAACATATTTTATTTACTTTGAGAAGTAATATGGTTTTTCTTCAAGATATTCATTGAAAATATTTGCTCTCTATTGATTCTGAGGGTATAAGGGAAAGAAAATTTTTTTCTCCTGAATCATAAGGCATAGGTACTTTGTAAAAACAGCATCTGAGAGTCGAAACATTTAATCAGACACCAGAGAGAGGCCTTTGTAACACAGGGTTCAATTCTATAAGTATAAGGATCAGGTGGAATACTAATAAGAAAGCTTCACATTAATCTGGCACAAAATTAAATTTATGATGATAGGTAAAGTGAATCCCCACAAAAATGTGGGTACAACTTCCCACAAATTATTTGGTTTAGGATTAAGTACATTGAACTGAAATTTGTAAAGGGATTTTGTTTGCCCTGATAGTGTTGATTTTTATTTTACTCTCCAAATTCATATAATATTTTATTCCCAGCTACACTATTAAAAGTTCCTTTCTCTTACATTTGAAAGATATTTATATAATATTATATTGACTTGCTTGTCTTTTTTTTTGTTCATTAAGGAATTATGTCAATGGAGTTGGTCACTGATAAAGATTTATCTAGTCTATGTATAGTGTATTTTAGGGGACACTTTGAATAAGTATCACTTAATTCTCAGACAAGTTGACAAAGGAACTGTAGGACTGTGAGGACAAAGGCACCATCAGAAGGATTAGCTCTGAACAAGTTTCCAGGCTAATATGTTCTGTCATCTCCATCACAGGGCAGATTTCTCCTCCTTCAGGGTTTCTGACACACTCAGGATGTGGTTTCAATACTGTGTCCTTGTCTCACACAGTAATAGACTGCAGAGTCCTCCGATGTCAGACTGCTGAGCTCCATGTAGGCTGTGCTGGAGGATTGGTCTACAGTCAGTGTGGCTCTGCCCTGGAACTTCTGATTGTAGTAAGTACTACCACTTCCAGCACCAATGCATCCAATCCACTCCATGTTGTGCCCAGGTCTCTGCTTCACCCAATGCATATAGTAGCTGGTGAAGGAGTAACCTGAAGCTTTGCAGGACATCTTCACTGAGGTCCCATCCTTAACTAGCTCAGCACTAGACTGTTGCAGCTGTACCTGGGAGTGGATACCTGTAGAGAGAAAAGCAGAATGGATGTATCCGTCAGGAAAGTGCATGGTCCATCCTCATGTCTGGAACTTGGTAGTAGTCCCTTACCTGTAGCTGCTGCCACCAGGAAGAGGATGTTCCAGCTCCATCCCATAATGAATACCTTGTGTACTCAGTGACTGTGGAGAGGACACTGATCGAATGTTGTTGTTAGGTGTGGACATCCCTGTATTATTAGACATCATAGATTCACATGATTTGTATATTCATGAAGCAGGGTCTTTCTTTGAAAAGACCTAGTGCAGCTGGAAAAGAAGGAAGTAGAGGACAGTCGTATCAAACTTCAGAATGCTGTGGGCAAAATTTTATCCTTTCTGAGGAAGTAGTTTTTTCCTGAGACCTGTGCAGACCCTGTAGAAACATTAAGGTCTTCCCACTCAAATTAAATCTAAAATTGTAACCTGAGACATTTGGTTCTCTTGGTGACAAAATTGGGTGGCAAGTTTTGGTAATAATTGCACTTGAAATTTTCAAAAATACAAATCAAGAGAACTTGAAATATTTTTTCATATATAAGCAATTAATATTTGCTTTTACAGCAGGTACCCGCTATATGTTTCATGTATACATGCATGGTTTATCCTTTTGTTTGTCGTCTACTTGTTTTATTTTTATAGAGATAAATAAAGTTTGTGTAGTTGAGTGGTAAGGAGGTAGGAACGATCAGGTAGGAATTCGGCAGTAAGACTGTGATTTGAAAATGTTGTATGAAAAATATTTCAAGTATCAAATGTAAATAAATCTTAATAAAGAAAACAAAAAATAGAAATATGTACAATATTTAACATAGAATTATTACTGTGTTTGAAAACTGGAGAGCTCAGATATTATTTGCTATTGGTGTTGTTAATGTAATAGACTCTTAAAAGGAGTCCACAGAGAATATGGAAGCCATTCCTCTCCTCATTTCATTTTTGTCTTCCTGATTTTTGGCTGCATTGTGACCCATGCTTTTCCTAGCATCCTTGCAAGTTGCTATTCCATAGCTTTCACTCAAGGTTCACTATATTGAACAATTACTTATTCATGCTACTTCAAACATCACATAGCTCAATGGCAGAGAAAAATGGCTTTTGTTTTCCTGGCGATACTGAACATATGCACCATACATAGACTTTAAGTTACAGCTCTATTGTTACTAGTACTCCTCTAAGTAACAGTGTTAGTTGGTTCAATCTCCTCACTACTTACTGATACTATAGAGTCATTACAAAGAATTATAGCATGCTAAATCATTGTGTATATGAAAAATAATAATCTTGTTTTTGCTAGACCCATGATACTTTTCAGGAAACTGTGGAGTTGATCTGGACAACTTACTATGAAATACACGTGTCAGAGGTTTCCATGTTAGAGTCCTTGGCTTGTGGATCAATGTGTGAACTTCAGTTCTCAAGGAAAAGAAGCATCCAATGTGTCAGTGAAAATTTCAGGTTTCCTTTGTTTCTTTATGAATTATAGAAGTCTACAAAGCATATAGAAGTTTGATAGGATAACTAGTCTTAGACATTAATATTTTATACAAATTATAACAGCAAATAGCACTGTGTCCTGGCAGGCACCATTATGATGATTCTAGCAACTGTCACTATAATCTATTTCTGATAAGAGTAGAAAAGTCTGATTGCTCACATTAAACTTGTCAGGCATCTTGGCTTGGCTATATTTCAGTTCTCAACTGTGGGATCCCCACCCCTTATTCTCAAAGGGGCAAGAAGAAATTTCCTAGCAGAATGTTTTCCCAGGAAGATAGTGGCCTTCCCTTCTCCCAACCAGGAGATTCCAAGCACAATGTCACTTAGCTCAACCCAGCCAGCCACCTGGCACAGGCTGATAAAGATGGCCTACCTCAAGAACAGTGGCTTTGCTCTAAGAACAAGGAAAAAGCTGACTTAACAGAATGGGAAGGAGCAAAAGTCCTTGTACCCATGCCAAAGCATCTTCAAGGATTCTCTTTGTAGTTACGCCTTTAAAAAGCTTACCCCACAGAAGAGATACAACTCCTCTCTACCTTGTTGTAACGGGGATGGAGATGAGTTCCAAACATGTTTGTATTATGCTGATTAAACCTTGCTTATTACAGTCTGGGCCTCTCTGGTGGTCTCTTTCTCTGGGGGTTGTAATCTGGGTACAACATCAACAACCATAATTAGGCAATCCTGATATGCCAAGTAAACACTATTGCTTGTAATGGTTGTATCAGTTGGAATCATATCTATGTTAAAGGTTTGTTTCCCGAATAAAAACAAACTAATTTCATATTCATTAAATATTGATCATAGATTTTTCTCTTTTCTTCAATATGCCTGGGAGATAGTGACAAGTTACCTCACAACTTCCTGGGATTCAGGGTATAACCAGCTTGCAGGCTTATTTTGGTCAACATATGTCACCAGCACCCATGTAGACTGACCCTCACCCTGGCCTTAAGTAAAAGACAGTGGAAAACTCGTTTTTGTCTTCCACACTGTGATGGTCAATAAAGAGTGTCATCTTGATTTCACTAGCCTAGCATTCTATAGTCATTAATTCTCCAAAATTTCTTCACACCTACTTGATGTTACTATAATAACAAGAGAAGACTCATGGTTGTACCAATAGTTTCTTTTTTCCTTTTAATGATGCCTGAAGTTGGTCATCATTAATCCTGAAACAACAGCAAACATCACTTCTCCCATTGATGTTCCCTTAAATCACGGGTAAAACAATCAAGCTTTCTAACCTTCAAAAGTAACAGAGAGTTCCATTGCTTTGTTATTAGGATGGATTAAATTTTAACAAGAAAACACCACAAATCAGAAAACTGTAATTATGGAACTGTGTTGCCAGTGGGAAGGGCATTGTAACATGACATTAGAGAGCATGTGCACTCTGGTCATTCAGCCTTTTACACTAATTAAGGGTGTAAGAAACTTCTGCAAAAGAATCCTACAAGGATCATTGATTCACAAATTATTCTTTAAGAGATGCAAATCTCAAATATGTATTTTGTGAGAAACAACAATCACCTGTTTGTACCCTATTAGAGACATTCACATATTTGCATTCTGAAATTGTAAACTAGTTGGTTTCCAATCTATCTGTGGAAAATAACATTAATTCATAGACAATCTGATTCCTCGTCCATATGTGAGAATATAAAGAAAATTGTTTTCAGATGATTTAGAATTCCCTGAGATGAACTAATGATCATCCTTGACCCTTAGAATTCCAGACATTGGTTGAAAAGCATGTTAAGGATATTTAAGAAATTCCATAGGGACCTTAGGTGCTCTATAGGAAAGTAATGGGATGCTTGTTAGAAAGTAAACAAATAGCAATTGTCATTAAATATGATATAGCAAAAGGAGACTAGAGGTTTTCTTGAACAAAAATGGAAATTCACTGTTCTATCATTTAAAAAGGCATAAACATGTTTCTGAAAAAGCACATCGGGAAGTTCTTAGCCTACTATGATCTAAGAGATGTCTACTAGTTCTGAGATGCCTCAGGATTTATTCATTGTCTCTGTTGGTCTTGAGTACTTTTGCAGAGAGGTTTGTCCGTGAGTTTGCACTTAGCTATGCTTTTCACGTCTCTGGAACAGTAAGACACGGCAGGTGGTTAAGAATTGTAAAGAACTAGCTATTGTAGATATTTGAATTAATACAAGCTCTGGAGTTGAGTTTCAAATAAGAAGCTGTATCTCTCACAATAAATACTATAGCACCAATATATTCTCATTCTTTCATGGATGCTATTAGACCCAGATAATTTGAAAGTTTCTTACAGAGAAACTAGAGATAATTCACTTGAGGGACAAGACCTGTGAGTGTTTCATGAGGACAAAGAAGACTCCTGCAGCTACACCTGGGACAGAATGTTTGAGAACAATGAATGTACATCAACACAAGTCACACCCACTAAGAGGCATGTGCCCAGTTAAATTTCCTTATACCCTATGACACTCAATTCAGAGAACAACCTACATGTAGGGAAACAGCCCCAGGACATACATACCTTAATGGAGGTTCATGTGAAAAGGCTATTGGGACTCATCAGTCATAGCTAGCCTTGCAGTCTGAGACCTAAAGGGGGATCTGAATGAGGGAACCAGTATAGCAGGTAAAAGAAGAGCAAAGTGAACAATTCCCTGACCCAGACAAGGTGACTTACATAGAATTGCATTAAGAAAATAGAGGCACAGACCTCAGGGGTATTTTCTTGATCCCAATCTTGTTTACATACTCCCAATTAAAAAAAAATTAAGTAGAATATGCCATGCAGGCATCTTCCGGTTAAGAAGAAGATGGCCTCCTTTCTATTGTTCATCCCTCATATTATGCCTTCCTCTCAAGGCTATTTTGCATTGGTCAGTCAGTAGTTTGGCTCTCCTAAGCAAATACTTACAACTGATGACATTCCCTAGGATTTGGCTGGTTTACTTGGATGTCTATCCACTTTCTTCATTCCTGGAAATCTTATAATTGTGCCCTTATTTCTTAATAAATGAACTTTAGATTGTGGATGATCATTCTGACAGCATTCTTAAAAATGGGAAGGCAGTTTTTCAGCCCAGGTTCTGAGAGACTCAATCCAATGCATGCTGACATGCATTGGACACCTTACATGTGACATTATGAGGATTTCAGTGATATTTTTCAGACACGGGGGTAGAGTGGGAGAAGGGATGGTGGAAGAGAATGAGGAGGGTAGTCGTGGAGCAGTGAGGAGAACTTGAGGGAATGTGATAATCAAGAAGGAGGAAGGACAGAGATAAGAGCAAGGAAAGAGATATCTTGATTGAGAGAGCCATTATGGGGTTAGAAAGAAACATGACTCTAGAGACATTCCCAGGAATCCACAAAAAATGACCACAGCTAAGACCATAAGCAATAGAGGAAAGGGTGTCTAACTGTCCTTGCCATATATTCATACTGATGAATATCTTAAATATCATCATAGAGCCTTTATCCGGAAACTGATGGAAAAAGAGGCAGTGGCTCACATCAGAACATTGGGATGAGCTCCCAAAGTCCATTTAAAGGGTGGTAGGGGTGAGAATATGAGTAAAGAGATCAAGATCATGATGGGTTCACCCACTGAAACAGTCTCCCTGACCTAATGGGAACTCACCGACCCCAGTC